TTGGTGGGGCACCTGTCAAATCTGTGATCATTAGGATCATTTACGGGTGATGTTTCACTCTAGGGATAGTTTTATACACGTGTTCCATGTAGAAAAGCTGTCATGGTACATATTTTTATAACCTTACTGTTTTTTCTTTTACTTGGCTTTGTTTTTCATGTGTAGGCAGAAGTATACTGTTACAGATTTTCTTTGAAGGGAAATAAAGTTCCCTCGCACTCAGAGTTCAGTAAATGACCGTTAGTACTGTCACTCAGAGCAAGAGAATGTAAACTGTTGGATAAAATTCGTTTTTACAAGGGCTGTGGATGAGAGAACATTGCTGCTACATAGACGAGAGAAGTTTGGAAATAATGGGAATATAACAAAATTATCAAAGGACTAAGCCAAAGCAGTCAGGCCAAGTCATTGGATTTCTATAGGGCTTTACCGTCCACAAACTTTTTCCACATATTAGATTGTCTCATTTATCCCTATTCAACCCTTGAATTTGGCAAAAATGGAAATATAGAATTAGAATGTGTAAAATACAAGGTTATACAATTCAGTAAGTTGTGGAGTCAGATTCTAAATTCCATTTTTTAGGTATGGTACCACATGTGTTTAATATCTGTGTAAGGTAAGACGTGCACTACCATGAAAACATCATAATTCCCAGTATAATAATAAAGATCATTTATTAGGTACCTACTATATGCAATGGGCTTTTTCAACTGGCTCCTAATGATTTCAATAACCATCCCAGGTTGGTAATATTCTCACTTTAAGATAATGTATAACCCTGGCCAGTGTGGCTCAGTTGGTTGAATGTCAGCCCCATGCATCTAAAGGTTACCATTTGGCTCCTTGGCCAGGGCATATACTCAGCTTTCAGGTTCAATTCCTGGTCAGGTGTATGCAGGAAGCAACCGATCAATATTTCTCTCTCTCTCTCTCTCTCTTTCTCTCCCTCTCTCTCCCCCTTTTCTTCCTTTCTCTCTCTCAAATCAACAAAAACATTTTTTTAAAAAAGATCAATAAAAACATTTTTTAAAAATCTATTTCCTAAATGTTAAGAAATAGATTAGGAGTACTCCCTCTCACTCTACTCTGTCTTAAGTTAAAGAAGGCTTGCTTTGGCTAAGTAGCTCAATTGGTTATAGCAATGGTCGGCAAACTGCGGCTTGCGAGCCACATGCGGCTCTTTGGCCCCTTGAGTGTGGCTCTTCCACAAAATACCGACTTCTGCGCATGGGCCGC